AGGATCCCCAAACAGTTTTCTTGAGTGTGAAGAAGTAGTGGAAGAAGCAGTGCAAAAGTTGGATGATGGCTGTCATCTGAAATATAAAGCATCCAGGAGAGAATTTGTTAACTCTATTTGTAATTTCCCAGCCAAGGAACATCTCATTACTCATCAGCCATCATTCAACTTTTGCACTGCTTCTTCTTCACACTCAAGAAAACTTTTTACCATAGCTTGTTGATCCTTTTTCTGAAAGCTCTCCCTTCTTGGCTTCTTCTTTGGCGGCATTGTATAGGAGTATAGGTAGAAGAATGATAAACTTGTTGGGCGTGGTCATTAATTATTGATTAATAACTATAATAATCATTCTAAAAATAGTATATCCGCTAGCTCTGGTAGGCAGACAGAAAAGCTCGTTAAAGCGGGGGCGTTTCACACTCCTACTCCTTCCTTAACCCAACATTATGGACTCCTGCTTAGAGTGATTGAATTTGAGCTGAGCTCACTCAGTGACTCAGACCAAATTCAAGAGAATTGAGATCATTTTGCAGAGATCTAGATCTACACCCCTCTGACCACAACACATTGCCTTCTAGATCTATCATTGTAGATCTAACATAAAATGGCAGGAGTTTCTCTTGATTTCTTGAGGACAGTCCTCCTTTGTTCTGGTGTTGCTGTGGTTGGTTTGGCTGCTTTCAGGTACTTCTGTGTCATTGGGAGGTCGTGTACTAGCAAGAAACGACTGGATGGTAAGACGGCCATTGTGACAGGAGCCAATTCAGGGATTGGTAAAGAAACAGCCATTGATCTGGCAAAGAGAGGAGCTAGAGTCATAGTTGCTTGCAGAGACGAGAAAAGAGGCAGTGATGCTGTGCGGGATATCAAGGCAGCCAGCAAGAGCGAGGAGGTCATATTGAAGAAGCTTGATCTAGCTTCCATTGCTTCTATACGTCAGTTCAGTGAAGAGATACTTCAAGAAGAGAGTCACATTGACACACTCATCAATAATGCTGCAACAGTGGTGGGCTCACACCAGCTTACGGAGGACGGGTTTGAAATGCAGTTTGGCACCAACCACTTGGGACCCTTTCTATTAACTAATCTATTATTAGACCGTATCAAAGAATCAGCTCCATCTCGTATTATAACTGTTTCCTCTAATGCTAGTTATCGCGGATCTCTTAATTTCGATGACATGATGTGGGCCAACTGTAAATATATACCATTTAGTGCTTATGCAAGAAGCAAGCTTGCTAATATTATGTTCAGCAGGGAACTGGCCAAGAGACTGGAAGGTACTGGTGTATCTACTTATTCACTACATCCTGGTGTTATACGCACTAACATAGCAAATTATCTTTTTGTTGGATGGAGAGTTATATTTCTTGTAAGTAATAAATTTACCCACAGCAATTAACATTTTATACATACAACTTATTTTTTTATATAGCCATTAGCATACATTTTGGCAGTGATGTTTTTAAAGACTCCAAAGCAAGGGGCTCAAACTACACTCCATTGTGCAGTGTCGGATGAAGCTGAAGGTGTTACAGGCAAGTACTGGTCTAATTGTGCTGTTACTAAACCTAACAAACTGGCTCTTATTGATGAAGATTGCACAAAGCTTTGGGAGTATAGCATTGAGCAAGTCAAACTGTGACAATTGTAGTTTTTGATAAAGCTATTTTTGTAGATGCATGACTATAAGTCACAGCTGATCTGATTAGGGATATTTATTGGCTTATTAATTGTTTTTACAAATTTGATTATAAAAATATACTTATAAAAATGAGGATAAGGATAATAGTAATAGACGATGCATGCATCATTGGTGAACCACTAAAGGATTCCGGTTTTGGTTGATCCAAGATTGAAGTTATCACTGGGGTTTTGGTAACCAGCAATCTAGACACAGTTGTACTAGTACTACTACTACTACTGATACAGTTAGTAGCTGATGTTATGTGCTTCATATCTGTAAGAGATGCTTGTTGACAAGAAGGACTAGGCGTGACTGTCTCTGATGTGAGGTTACCAATGCAGTAATTTCCAATTCTTTTTACATTATGGGGACATTCAGTGAGACACTCTAATGTCTGGGAGTCTCTGAGTTGCTTGCATGTATCACACTGTGATTGATCTGAGCAGCGATTATTTTTGCAACTATCAGGGCAAGCCTCTGGTATCTTTCTGACCGATTCCGGTACAGTGCTTGTACCATACAGTTTAATCCTGATCTTAGTAACTGTAACACTTCCAACTGCTCCACGATAGCTCACTGACAACTTCCATTCACCTACTGGATTCTCTCCCCAGTATTGCACACTCATGAATGACCATTTTTTGAATCCAACATTGTTAACAAAGTCTCTGTCACGATATGGTAATAATGTCGATTGTGTTCCATAAGGTGACTGAAGAATGATTTTGATATCACCACGTCTTGATGAATTGTGATAGAGCACACTGTCAATACTAGCTTCTTCATTGTACAACTTGTCATAGTAATCATAAGAACTAAAGGAGTTTTCATTGCTTGGGGTGGAAAGCTTGAGTGAGACTACAACTACCACGTGTTCAAGGAATGATATATTGGTTGAGCCCATAACATCATTCTGCGTGCTTTGATTTACTCTATAATTAATACTCATTGATGAATTACTGGAAATATACCTATTGTAATAGCAAGTTATAATAAGAGGAACAATAATAGCTATTCTTTACCTTGTAGTCAGTGATGGCATAATCAGTGTGATCAATTGTGGTGGAACGTTAGTCCATACTCTTGCTCTTGTTACCATTGCTTCAGCATCAATCACTCCAAATCCAAACTGTGAGCTGACGCTCATACCAGCACCATTGGTCATCCACAGTCTTGCATTTTCTTCTTTCATTAGTACTTGTGAGTTTGAAGTGTATGCAATAAGGTACTGGATGTCACGCCATGTCAACAAAGGACTATAAAGATTGAGTATTTCAGTCAAGTGATGGTATAAGTAGGTATTTTTATTCTTACTTAGCTTGTAGTGCTAAGGCTATGACACCACTCAGTAAAGGTGTTGCGGCACTAGTTCCTGTGAATGATTCTGTGCATCTGCTTGTCAGTGTTGTAGTCGGCTATAAGAATAATTTTCAAAACAAAGATATGTTATATTAATTATTTTAGAGCTAGCTTACATTATGTGAAGCTTCATCAGTCCCAGCATTGAAGCTAAAAGCAACTGCCATCTTTGCACTGCATCGTTCATCAAAGGAAGATGGTATACCTTGACTATCAACTGAGCCTACAGCTATTGTGTATATGCTGTTAACATAGCCATCAGTGGCACAGGAATCATGCTTTGATCCACCATTCCCAGCTGCCCATACAAATATACTGCCTTTATTCTGACGACCCTTAATAATAATAAAATATGTGTACTCTCAAGATGCATAGATTAACATGCATACTTTTGCAGCGCCAATTTGAAGTGCTAGCCTCGTCAAAAGTTTTGGTCCGTCTACTGTAAATCCATTATCTACAGGTCCCCAACTGTTGCTGTATATATCAATGTTCTGGTAGCGATAGTTGAGAGCATTCGCTTCCTGACTGTCAGTTGTCCCTTTGTGACTGGAGGAGAAGATACGAAGACCTATGAATTTAGGTTAAATATGATTGGTTTCAAAGTATAAATATGCAACGTTTATACCTGCTACTTTTGCATTATAAGCTACACCAACGCCGCACAATCCATTGCTCTTACTCATTGATACAACTCCAGCACACTCTGTCCCATGACTATCAAAGTATGGGAACTGATAGTAAGGGGAAGGATCACTGTCGTAATTAACAAAGTCATAGCTCGAGTTGTCATCCTGCATGAGAAAGTACAAGAAATAAATACTTTTTAAAATATAGCGAGAACACGTAACTTACATAGTTAGCAGACAGATCCGGATGTGTACGTTGTAGTCCTGAAAGAGATGAAAGATGCTAACACACATAAAATGGGAGCTTTGTTTGGCACAATTTTGGCCTCGCTCTCTTACTACAATACACTAAGAGGAGGCTAGTGCAATGACTTACCATCATCAACAACTCCTACAGTGACTCCTTCTCCAGTAAAACCTTGAATCCATGCTTCAAGTACTCTCATATTGTAATCAGACTCCTGTATTGTTGTAGCATGCTACAGTGATAGATAATCACAATGAAAGTGTTAATTCATTATTTAATTTACTGTACATACCAGAGCCCACTGTTCATTCCACAGTGGATCTGTTGGTTCTTGAAAGTCTTTTTTGTCTCTTGTCCTTTCTACCTGTCTTTTGATGAATCCAACCTATCATTTACATAATGATTACATTTGCAAACTCTAGATTTGTACACACTTTTTTCTCATTCCTAATTTGCCCAACTAAGCCCTTCATTTTTCTATTCCCAGAGTTGAATTGATACACACCCTCTAGTTCCCCTATCTATAATGATGGGGAGTGAGTATATTAGATCTAGTTCATGCATGGTCATAAATCAAAACATACTTGTCCTTCAAATGTATATCCATACTTGAATGCTATAGCTCTTGCTTCATTCTCACCTCCATTAACTTGGATAGCCAACCGGGAAGCATAACAGGTTAATATAGTACTGGTACTTAAAATGACTAACAATAAGTTGAGCAAAGACATAGAGACAAGAAAATCACAACTAGACTAGGACTAGTGACATGACGATCTATCTTTTATAATAAGAATTGATTGCTGTGCATGCGGCATATGAGGAGTGTGAGTGTTAACAGAGGAAGGAACAGTCCTAGTGAGGAGGTGTTGAACAAACCACTAACAGGATTATCTCAGGCTGATGTAGCTGAATAATGCAATTATAGGATGTGACTACTGACTAGACTCAAGAGACAGCAGATAAATACAACAATAAACTGAAATTACTTTTATTTTAACGGAAATTCAAACCTCTGTCAAAGGAATGGAAGGAATGATTCTGTAGAAAAGCCTGCAGATTGCAGAATGCTTGTAGATTACTTGTAGCATCTAAAGCTTTGAATCCTTTCCTTTGATCTAAGCTCAGCCCCACCCATTCAATGCACGTGAAGAAACATGGTGGATGCTATTGACAGTCAAACTCGCAGTCAAACTTCTATTGAGAGCTCTGATCATGCTGGAGCTGAGGCCAAAGGCTTATCTCAGAAAGAAAAATATCACGAGATATTTTATAGCTATGGAATGGAGTGTGCAATACACCAGGGGGAGAAGCTAAAAGGAGTTCTTAAGACTATGTATGACTGACATTAATTTATTTTGCTAGGTAGTATTCAGTGTCTTTATTTACAGCATAAACTTCATTTTAAACCCAACAAATTCTCACTTGTATAATCTTTACAGTAAAAATAATAATCATTTTCTCTCTTTTGTTTCCTATCAGTCCTGCCGATTTCATTGTCACTGAAATTGATAAAAACGGAGAGCTAGTAACAATAAACAAAGACTGTCCTATACTGGATCCACCCGTTGACAACCAAACTTTAAACAAACAAGTGTCTCCTGAGCCCCCTCCTCCTCCAGTAGAAGAAGATACTGATGATGATGATGAAGATGATGATTTTAATCCACTGGCAGAGAAGCAGATGTTAGAGTTAAGTGATCTATCAAGAAAGTTTGAGGAGATGTCTGATGCTCAGTCTTCAATTTTATTTGAAACAGTTGACTTAGGTACTTGTACTGTAGTTTTTTTATTTTTATCGTGACGGCAATGTTAACGATAATTATTTATAAAAAACAATGTCTTTTATTTATTTGTTTGTTTATTATTTTAGGTTGTTATGATAACAAGAAGGTTCGTTCCCGTATACACAAATCAGTTAAAGATAATTTTCCTTTACTAATAACACGGACTATACACAATGATGAAGTAATTGAATGGACATTGTATTCTATTGTTAATAGCCTTTTGGTTTTTTCCAAAAATTGCTCCGAAATCACCCCAAATTTTTATTAAATGTTTTGATACATATTGATGTACTTATGCTATGTAGAAAGTTTGAGCCAATTCCGAGCTCAAATTCTGGAGTTATGAGCACTTTTTAAAAACTATCAAATTTCGAAAAACACCCAAGACTATAGCCCATGGTTTTTTCAAAAAATGGCTCCGAAATCACCCCAAATTTTTATTAAATTTTTTGATACATATTAATGTACTTATGCTATGTAGAAAGTTTGAGCCAATTCCGAGCTCAAATTCTGGAGTTATGAGCACTTTTAAAAACTAGCAAATTTCAAAAAACACCCAAGACTATAGCCCATGGTTTTTTCAAAAAATGGCTCCGAAATCACCCCAAATTTTTATTAAATTTTTTGATACATATTAATGTACTTATGCTATGTAGAAAGTTTGAGCCAATTCCGAGCTCAAATTCTGGAGTTATGAGCACTTTTAAAAACTAGCAAATTTTGAAAAAAAGCATGGAATATAGCCCATGGTTTTTTCAAAAAATGGCTCCGAAATCACCCCAAATTTTTATTAAATTTTTTGATACATATTGATGTTCTTATGCTGTGTAGAAAGTTTGAGCCAATTCCGAGCTCAAATTCTGGAGTTATGAGCACTTTTTAAAAACTAGCAAATTTGAAAGAAAGCATAAACTATAGCCTATGTTTTTTTCTAAAGATTTAATGAAAATCAGCTTAAAATTTCGTTGATAGTATAAGGACATCAATATGCATAAAAAAATTTAGTAGAATTATTTTCTAGTCGTAATACAGCACATGTTCTTCAACAGGACATACAGCAAATCATTGGATCCCCTGATGCTACCTACCCTAGACTACTACCTTTACTAGGAAAGGAAGAGGCTATCAAGTAGCTACAATAATCATTATTATGCTAACTACCACACTCATCATTGGTCTGTAGGTTGCTCCGTTATATTAAGTCATCAGATCCTACTGAGAGGAAGTCTCATTTCATTCCTTGTGACCATCTGTCAAAAGAGGATAGGGGACAAGTTAGTGTGTGCTTATTTACTACAGAATTGATATTTTTGTCATATTTTTAATACAATACTTGTTCTCTATTTATAAGTTTGTATATTATTTTGTAATAGATTCATCGGATTATTGATGAGCTATTTGGATTATTTCTAATGACAAGAACAGTTGATGTGTCCGTTGAAAGAAAAAGCAACAGAAAAAGACGAAAGAATCATGAAGAATCCATTAATAGCAGCAATAGCTGTGTTGAATCTACAGCCAGTAGCAGTGGATCAAATGATGCCCCATTTAGTGTTAGTGGATCCAGTAATACTGCAGTCAGTAGCAGTGAATCCAGTAATAGTTTATCCAGTAGCAGTGGATCAAATGATGCCCCATCTAATATTAGTAGATCCAGTAATACTTTATTCAGTAGCAGTGGATCCAGTACTACTGCAGTTAGTAGCAGTGGGTCTGATAGTTTTATTGAGCCTGGTTCTTCTGGTAAGCGTATTTCGGTCAGTTTTAAGGCCAGGATCAGAAAATCCGCCAAACGAAGGAAGATGGGCTGTCCTGTGATTCACGATCCAAACTATTTTACTTCATTTTCTCTGAAGAAGGAGAATTTTGTACGTTACAGCAAAACACTAAATTTTATTTTATGCTGTACTACATGTATACATTCGTGTTTCAATTAACATTTCATTTTATTTTAGGAAACATTTTTGACGATGACAAAGCTAGCAGACATGCTGTCTGTGAATCCTTCAAGATTTGCCTTTGCTGGCAGCAAGGACAAGAAAGCTATTACATATCAGAAAATGACGGCGAAAAATATCAGCATGGCCAAGTACAATCTCTTGATTAGAGTGGAACCTCCGATAATAATGAAACTTCTCTTTAACAAAAGCCTATTATGTATTGAAATTTTTTTTAATGCACCAACTTCATTCCTTGTTAATTAAAAAACTTTTATACAGTGAAAAAATTGGTGCTCCACAAGTTTTGTTATTTGGAAGTTCCACTGGACTACCTCCATTTTAATCTGATTTTTTATATTCGACAGGTTAGCAGTTGTCAATATACCTGGTATAGAGCTGGGCAGTTTTGAGTACGTACCATGTCATCTTAACCTTGGAGAGCATCAAGGAAACCACTTTCAAATAAGAGTACGGAACCTTGAGACTATCACCACTAATGGGAAGGACTCTCTTGAAGACATTATTGAAGTATTTTTGTGCATTAGGTTTTTCATGAAGTAGTTTTTGTTAGGTTGGCTGCAAGTCATTGGAAGAGAAAGGATTTATAAATTATTTTGGCATTCAACGTTTTGGACGTTTGATTGATGACCATCCTTTAATTGGACCATTAGTTGGATATTACATGATACTTGATGATCCAGTCAGCATAATGGCTACCTCTCTCTCTCTTCTCTCTCTCTCTTCATTCCTTACTCATGTCTTTATATATATTACGATGCATCCTAGTCTACTATCATTTGTTGTATTATTATTCTCTCACTTTCTTAACAGTTGAATGCAATCAAGGTAATGTTTTCACCAGATCTAACTATCAATCTTGAAGCAAAGGAAGCTAAAGAGTGAGTGGTTTTTCAAGCTTTACACGTGACAGGATTAATATACACAATGTCTTTAGGTATTTCACTAGAACTGGTGACATAGATGGTACTATTCATCGTATGCCTGAAATCCCTAGAGAATTGATGGTACTTAGAAACTTAAGTAAATACGGAATGTCAAAAGTATGTCCTAGAAATTGTCAATATTTCCTTTCTTTTTTGCATCATTGTATATACATGTAGTTTGGCTGTCAGAAGTCACTCCTTAGCTTGCCTCACCAGTCAAGACGTTTGTATATTAGTTCGTTAACTTCTCTGCTGTGGAACCAAATGGCCTCGTACAGGATACGGGAGTATGGGACTGAACCTGTGGAGGGAGATTTGGTTCTCATTGCAAAGTTGAGTGGGCGGGCAATAATGAAGTTGAATTGAATGTGTGTATTATGAAATAGTAAAGTATCTACATTTACATGAATTGGTAGTCAATATTGTAGCTATAAAAAGATCAATTTTAGTTTCTTTGTCAAGTAAGAGCCACGATCATAAAAACTCTTTATTTGTGGGCTCTGCTAGTACATGTATTGTATCTAACATCAATAAATAAAAGTGATCTTTCTCTCTTTTTTTTTATTTTTATAGTCAAACGGTACAAGCAATCACATCGGAGCACATCAGTTCACGTCAGTATTCACTGAAAGATATTGTCCTTCCAGTCTGTGGGCATAAATCAGTTTTGCCTAACAACAGGGTTGGAGATAGGTAAGGAACATACCGATGCATGCCAATAACATCCAAAGGAAGAAGAGTTTATACTCCTCCTACTTGAACTGTATATCAATTAAAGATAGTGCATACCTGTAAAGACTTGTCTTCTCCTAGCTCTGTAGCTCAAATTTCATTTATGCACACTTGGTTGGCTCAAATGGCCATTCACACCATTTTTACTGTCTAGCTCAAAAACTTTATCATATATATTTTTATGATAATTTGAGCATCATAGTAAGCCTAATAAAACTTAACTCTAATGATATTGTGATCAGTATAATATTATAATCAGCTAAAGCCTCTTATTTAAAAAATAACACTTTTATGTAAGGTATTCTACAGGTTGAAGGAACTATTGGCTGCTCTTGGTATCTCCCTTCTCTCATTTCGCAGCTACCGCTACACTAATCACCTCTGGGGTGCATATCGGAAGCTTATCAGCTATCCTCATGATTTAAGATGGAGACTGACCAAAGCTCCTCCATTTACTGCTTCCATTCCTCCTGCACCAGGAGCTGCTGCAGCATTGAATGCCTCAGGGGGCCCGTTAGAAGAGGCTGGATCTGGTGGTCCACCTCAAAGTGATGTACCACCTGAGGACTCAATGCCTTGCTTAGAGTTAGAGTTTGATCTAGATCCAGGGACTTATGTGACTACCATGATGAATGAGATTTTGTCATTTGATCCATAAATTATCAACTATGATACATACAAATGGATTTATATTATAGATTCATTAACATGCATAGTAATAATGAATGTCATGATATTTATAGTCATTGATTCAGTGATGGCTATACAGCAGTGTCTTGTGATGGTCCAATCCATTGGCAATAATCCTGTCTTCATCTTCCTCATCTTCACTACCAATTTCAGCCCTAGAAAAGTATTAAGAGATTGCAGAGGAATGACCTCTATCATCATTATATAGTGTATACACATGAATTGATACAAAAATACTGCTCTACACTGACAGAATATTCATTGTGGTATGTGCTGGGTTTTTTGGCAATGAAAACTTGAAAAAGTATACCGGTATGCCATTTTTGCCAATATAAAAAAGTGCTTTAATAGCAAATGATTATTATTTGTTCTTACTCTAGCTCATCTCTATCACTATCATCATCGTCGTCGTCATCATCATCTTCGTTTTTCCTGATAGTTGCTTTCTCTTGACTCTGTTGTTTCTTAGTTTTAGCACTGATTGCTCTGTGCTCAGATACATTAATCCCACCTTCCTTTAATTTATGGAGACCAATGCAAAACCACTGACCCATCTCCTTTAACTGCTGAATGTTAATCTGAAAGCCCTGAGAGAGAGAGTGAAGGAGAGATACATGTATATAATTTAGCAATAAGTGTTCTTCATCACACCAACATAATGATAAAACCTTGATAAAACTAATTGATTTCAGTAATGATATATTTAATTGTCACATCATGTATAGAGATAATGTCGGTATGGCATTAATATTAAGGCACTCTTAAAGTGCAATATGCAATGAAGGCATGAATGCCAGTGCATTGATATTAGGTATGTATGTACTTGTAGTGGTCCCTGATCAACCCCACAGTAGGTGCTTTCCATTGTATAGCTTCTCTTAACTCCTAATCTTCTCCATACTACAACACGTGCTGTGGCTTCTTTGGCTCTCTCTACCACATAGCTACAGTTCTGTATGTTGAAGAATGGAGCTAGCTTATCAAGGATTATTGGCAACTCCTAACAGAAAAAAGAGTAAAGTAGAAGAGAAAGAATAAAGAGAAAGAAAAGAGAGGTTAATCCACCATTGATTGGTAGATGATGCTCTTTACATACTTCTTCAACATAAGACTTCAGATGGTCTCTACAACCAAAGAGAAAAATGTTCTTTCTTCTAGAGTGACCATGAAAGTCACAATACAACTGGATAAAAGAGAAAAGGGCAAATATACAAAAGGTTTAAAATAGGTACCATTTCATGCAAGAAGTATACCATTATTACATGTATATCCCATGCCCTCTTTCTGTGCGTGCAAGTCAAACTTACATAAGGCGTGGTTCCATTGCTAACTAGCCACTGGATCAATCCTTTAGTCTGATATATTGTTGGATGCAGTGAAGGGTTGGGTGAGATCCACTGACGATTCAAATCTTGTCCCGACAATGAGCAACGATGACTATCACAAGAAAGAGAGCAATAGAGGACATATTCAATTATAAAATACTATTTTGCAAAAACTGGCACACTTCCTAATGCATATGAATTGCCTCAAACTTTCTACATGTCAAATTTTTTTATTGTCAAAGCTAATCATTAGCTCACTGTCCATTAATGACTCCATCGGGATTAAGCATTGGAATGATCTTGAATACAAACTTGTCCCGAAGCTGCTTAGCAACCGGCTGTGAGCTAAGAAGAAACTCTAAAATTCCTGAAAGAAAGAGAAGAGAGAGAGAGGGAGAAAGAAAGAGAAAGGAAGGAGGAGAATCAAAGGTTCACGTATTAAGTACAACAATTGGAAGCAAAAGGCTGACTTCCAAATTAACATGTACGTGTACATATATATGTACATACATGTACCTTTCATTATCCAGCTGGAATTGGACTCCCCAGGATGGACACGCCCAGTTAGCACAACATACTCTTTCTGTTGTCCTCGCTCTCTGAGTGGTAGATTAGTGATAGTAAGAAGAGGACAGGAATGACCTCCTAGTGTAGTACAGAGTGTCTGTCTTCTATAGAACAAGTGTGGTGAGAGCAACTGGCTCTCTAGAAGCAGCAAGTCGGCCTATTACAAACAAAATTGAACATAGGCCAATCAATCAGGTACATGTAATAATATTATGTTAATATACCTTTAGCATTGAGTAAGTGTAAGGGTAGTGATAAGCTATGTAGCATGAGTCTTTTGAGTTAGGGAAAGAGACAGTGAACGTGGCTGTGAAATAACGCTTGCTAATCTGACTTCCTCCAACTGATTTTGGTCTCCCTCCTCCTCCTCCTTTCTCTGTTGCATCGTCTTCCTCCTTCTCTTTGGACAAGTTGTTAATTTTGTGATAATTGTTACGATAGTAAGATATCTTAGTGCCAATCCTCTGCCAGGTTTTGCTGATAGAAGAGTACAGCACTGGCTGCATTCCTACAGGAAATAACAAGCAAAAGTTAAAGAATCCAACTAGCTACCATATTGCACTTTATTTTGGCAGAGTTTAATAATAATGGCATTTTGCAATAAAAATTATCCAATATCAAAACCATTGATCATACTCAGTAATACATGTGTACACAAAAATCAACAAATTACAAAGCATGAATTCATTGTCAAAATAAATATAAAAAGTACCTAATATTATTTTAAGGATAGTAACACTAACCAAAGTTAAATTGACTGTTTGCTTTCTCACAGTTAATAATGTTAAACCTGTATGGGACCTTCTCTTCCATATGACTTACCTAAAATAACGCATAAAAAGCACCAATAAATCAAAATTCGAATTCGGTAGAACAATGTGAAGCTACAAATGCTTACTTGAAAAAGAAACCATTGATGATGCCTGTCAGTATTAATATCAGCATTAAGTATCAAATCATACTCATGCTCCCTGACCTGCAATAAAGAAGACTATACTAATAACACTAGCAGTGATTTATGAAGAAGTATTTCCATTGAAACGTATTGCAATGATTTTCCCATTCATTTACCTGTATTGCCATTCTGAGATTACAGCTCTCATCTGTTGCTTGAAATCCTAAGGTGGCTGGTTTCTCAATCACTTCTTCAGTAGTAGCAGTATCTGTAGGACTAGGTGGTATTGGGCCTTCATTCTGTGAGAGAATCTTCTCCACATCAAACACTCTATTATTCAGCAATGACTTTGGGTCAATATATCTCGCTGCATCCATCAGAATTATCTCCCTAAAAAGATGTATCAGAAAACGCAATAAAAAAAGGAGAATCTTCTCCTAGTGATTTTTAATGAAGTCTGACCAAATAGTACAGGGACTTTTGCCTGATTATGGAGCAACTTAAAAATTCATGAAAAATTTTAATTTGATTGGAATCGGCTCAAACTTTCTACACTAAAATAAGAACACGTACATGTATATGCCTCAGACAATGAAATAAAAATACCATTTAATAGTGTAGCACATGTATGCAACAAGAAAATATCACACACAGTATGCTAGTGTCTAAATATTACATTACATTCATTGGCAAAATGAAAGAAGTATTCATTTCCTGACCTTTCAACTGATTGTGACTTCTTGTAAAATGGATCCAGACCAGAAGTAGAAATGGAAGGAGAAGGAGGGAGAAGAATTGGTGAGGAATCACGAAACAGCAGCGGCTTGCAATCAGTCTGACCACTAGCAGTCAATCTAGGGCTAGAGAGAGGAGGGGCTCCTCGAGTTATTGAGGATCTACCATTCCTCTCAACACAAGAAGCAGAGAATGAACTATCAAGGAAGCCTTCTTCTTTATAAGCAGTAACAGATACTATGGGCAGAGATGTAGAGCGTTTTAATGTCCGTATGGATGAGACTTCAGGGAAAAACTGATTGAAAGCAAGGAGATCAAACTTGTGCGATATCTCATTTGCTTCGCTGTGAATGAACCACAAATGAGGGCAGGAGGAGTGATCAGCAGATGAGGCTTGAGTCAGCTCTAACTGTGAACTATCAGATGCTAGCAATCCTGGGTTAGACTGTATTGAAACTGCACTAGAGCGAGTTTTAGTAGAAGACTGGGCCGATCTATTAGACTGGGTTATCCTATCAGGCTGGACTGCAGCAGACTGTACTGGTTTAGTACATTGTGCTTTATCCATTGCTGTAGACTTTACTCCTACACTACAAGGCTTTGGAGCTCCAGAATCAGGGAGGACTACTGCACCATATGCTACATCAGGCCCCATTGGTTCATCAGGCCCCATTGGTTTATCAGGATCCATTGGTTTATCAGGATCCATTGGTTTATCAGGTGGGATTGTTCTATTTAAATGTGCCGGAGGAGGAAGCAGAATTGATGTAACTCTAACATCAGATAGTAATCCCAATGCTTCTAACTGTATTGACTTAATCGTATCATCATCAGCAGAGCATACATCAGTCATACTCTTTGAGGTGGTAGGACCAGTAGTGTCCTCAGTACTGGAGGACTTAATGTCTTTTTTGGTGATTGTTCCTCTATCCTCTTCTTGTGATGATTCTTCTCTTTTTAGTTCTGGATCTGATGATGTGGTGTCCGTTCCTTTGAACTGATCCAGTGAGAACTGCACGTGATTGAGAGATGATGATAAAGGAAGTGGAATGACTGGTAGACACTTTCTGATCAGATTGCATGTGGTTGTAGCAAGCAAACTAAGACGTGTATCTGAGAAAAATAAAAAACATTATATATTAATAAAATAAAAAATATTATATATATTTATATATTAAAAGGGAACTGATAAAGACAAAGAGAAAGATAGACAAAAAAGAGAGATATTTTATAAATACCAGTATGTAGTTCCCTGGCTACATTGTACAGGGTATTCAAGCCATTCGCTTTATGAAGAGACTCCATACACAAATCTACTCATAAGAATAGTTCCAATACTAATGATGACAAAATGATTACTAACCAGTAGATACAGCAATGGATAGTGCTAGTATCATTGATTTCCTAAGAGGAACGTGATGTCTTGAGACATCGGTGCGATGAAACCTCTCGACTAGTTGCAAGAGCTCAGGAATACAGCAATTAGCATGTCTTTTCCTAGCATTAGACTCTACGCATAAATGATAATAATAATAATAATAATAATAATAATAATAATAATATCAATAACAAATAATATGTACACATTTACAGTATGTACAGTATGGAAAATATAAATATACTTATACATGTATAATACAAATAGTGTATTGCTTATTGAACTCACTGATTCTTAATAGAGGAATGAGAGCCTTGACAATATACCTTTCATAATGTACTGATATATAAAGGTGGTCATAATTGAATCATTACTTTAGAATAGTGGAATCTGATTTTCCATACAATCCCAGTAGAGTTGGAAAGACAGTTAGACAGCCAACCTTTCCAAGAGTCTCTGAATTAGTAGCTAAAATAATAATAATAATAATAATAATAATAATAATAATAATAACAACAACAACAACAATAACAACAACAGCAATAATAATAAGAAGTATACATACATACACAAACATATAAATGTATGAATATTCAATGCTGGATATGACTCTCACTGTTATTGGCTAGTATTCTCACAACAGGGAGGATAACTGATAGTGCCATTGACTTTTTAGTACTTCGCTTCAAAAGACTAGTAATAGTTGGCAATACCTTATGCTGACGAGCCTTGAATGCAAATTTAGCATCTAAAAATAAATAAACATTATATCACAATTTAGGAAGGACTAGTCTACCGTACCTTTAGAACTCAATTGCAAGAGAAGTGATAAATATTGTACCAGAACACTGTCAGTTACAATGTGTGGTGACTCGGAGTAAACTTGCAATGATTGTAGGATTATATCTACGGCTCCATTACTCACCAGCCTCACTATTAAAATATAGACAATATTATAATATGTACATGCAATTATTTGGAAATAGTTTCAATGCCGTATATATATGTCGTATTTAATAAGGCATATAATACTACATACCTTTATAACGATGCTCAGCCAAACATTTAAGAATGTGTAAGATATTAAGAATGATGCTTGTATTAGATGCAGATGCGTCCTTCAAACAGTCAAAGAGTATGTTAAACCCGTGAGAAGACTTGCTTGCAATTGCTTTACGCTCAACGGCTACAGAGAGAAAAAGCACAAGGAGCCAATGAATAAATAACTAATAATAATTGATGATTAATAATGAATAGACTAATTGAAATCACAAGTGGAGCGATACAAACAAGGAGAACAATGTCATAATAATATTCAGTGCTTCCTTAAGTGGTGGAGTGAGCATGATGGTGTGTTATTGATAATTATAAAGGTAATACACTTGAACATAAATGAAGATATACATGTATTTAGATCCTGCTATTATGATAGGTAAATACACTGTCTGTAATTTCAATGATATTATCTTAACTAGTGCATCTACCAGAATTGTATACAGTCAAACCTGCTATTGTGGACACTCTAAAATAAGGACACCTCTATAATCGGGACAGGTAGTATCAGTCCCAATACAATATAAATGTGTATTAATGAACCTCTGAAATAAGGACACCTCTATAATAAGGACAGTTTTATTGGATCCCAAGGTGTCCGGAATAGACAGGTTTGACTGTACATGTATTGCAAAAATATTACATATAATTATTGCATTTCTGGAATTTATTAGCACATATACATGTTAATAATAATGCATATCTCAGCAGAATTATAAGCGACGTAACCTTACTGGCAACCATTTTAAGCAGCAGGACTAATGCTAATTAAAAGTCGCACATGCTATGAACTGTTTACATTGAATTGAATATTAAAGCATTTCAATAAAATCAAAACAAATGTATTTATATAAATAGATCTAAAATAAAAACATGCATACCCTTTTCTTTGACAAGATCCAATATGGAGGAAGTAGAATCCAGTATTCCCGTCCTTCCCTTCATTCCTTTGTTGATCATCTCCTCTGAGGAAGGAGTGGAGGCTGTCTCTCTGATACATTCTAAATGTGCAATGACACCTGCAGGCTCACACCTCACACTAAACAAGAGAGAATGAAGAATATGATCAAGGTAAACCATAGACTGCTTCATAGTAGTACCTTCCACTGGATTTCCTTCTTTTACTCATCTCTACAGCTGCTGGTATCAGAAGAGAGAAAGAGGGAGAAGGAAGCAGAATGGAGGAGTATGAACTCACAGATTAAAAAGGGTGTAACCACTAAATTTATTAATGAGGGCGTGGTTTTAAAATGGAGGCTACTGAAGTATTGAGTGAGTCACATTATTCTCCATATTTTGTGCTATTTTCTTTCTCTCTCTCCCTCCATCTCTCTTCTCCATTAGCTCATGTTCCTCCTCAACTGCAGAGACTTGTTAGGTTGGTAGTTAGAGCCTTCTATCAGCCTGAACATTACATTGTAATGGACATATTGGCAAAATATCCATGGTAATAATAATAATAAATAAAATAAATGAAAAAATTACTGTTACTATTTTTAGCGTAAGTGAAGGGGACCTTGTGGAGTTACTAAGATTAGAGCAGAAGAAAGTAAACGATTATATTTCTTTTAAATGATTCTAATAACAGATTTCCAGCTAAGAGTAATATTAATGCATCTTAAAAGAGATAAACTAGTAAAAAGGTAATTGTGTACATGTGTATATACATTGTGCATAGCAGCAGTCAAAATAAATTGACCATGCTTAAAATCCACATAACTGTACTTTAATGATCATAGCCTAGTTATTTCATTATCCTGATTAAACCTTTCCCTGTAGTGTTCAGAGGATGGAGTCCAAGGAGCTTGAGAATGGAGAGAAGAAAAGCTATCTGTGTCACTATTACTACATCAATTACAAAGTGTTTGTGAACGTTGTGAAGTACAAGTTGGACAGAATGAGGGAAAGGATTCAAGCCGAAGAGAGAACAGTATGTAACATCAGAAGAAATAAGCCAATGTTGTTCAATGACATTATGACAATGGGCTATAGACTATAATAAAATTGTCATCATAAAATTCAGAATTTTTATTATGTAATTTTCCAATATTACATGTATGACATTCAAAATTATAGCATTTCATTGTAGTCATGTGTTCAGTGTATTAAATATCAATCAGGGTATAGCGTTGTGTACTCTTAGCTATAATTATATTGCTATTAGAATTGACTCAAAAATTTTACACGTGTACATGTACATGTGTAAATAAGAAAAGGAATGTGTGGACTTTGAGACTTGTTTTTTCATTTTTAGGTGTCTAATAGAACGTCTTATAATTGTCCGAACTGTCAAAACACGTATTCCGATCTTGATGTTGATAGACTTATAGACCCTGTTGAAGGAGTCTTAAAGTAAAAATTTAATAATAATGATAATAATAAAGATACTAATGGTACTATTGATAGCTTATTGTTTATAAGAATGCTTCAAGGAGTGTATCTATTAATTTTTTTAAAGTATGATATTATGTTTGTTTTAGGTGTTTCATGTGTAATACAATATTGACTGAAGATACTGAGGAAGGTCTTGATGTCATTGATGTACGTTCAATGCTCTCCAAGTATGTAGCGCCTGCCCTTACATGTATAGTATAAATTGCTTTTATGTGACACATAACTTGCAAATTTTATCCATTCAAACTTCTATAAATGTATATCAGGAAATGAAATAAAATAAGCTGATTTTCCACAAAGCATGCTAAGTGAGCTAAAAAGCATGCTTCATGAGCTGATGAGTTTTGTAGTAGCATATGGAGCAACTTTAAAAATTCATAATAAATCCAATTTTGATTGGAATCAGCCCAAACTTGTTATACAACATAAGAACATGTATATGTATCAGATAAAAATATAAAAATGGAAAATTCTCTCTTAGTCATTTTTGGCGAAATTTGGCCAATAACCCTGTACTATAGTACAGGGACTTTGGCCCAATTTTGGAGCAACTTTAAGAATTTGTAAAAAAATCCAGTTTTGATTGGAATCAGCTCAAACTTTCTACACAACATGGGAACATGTATATGTATCAGATAAAAATATAAAAATGGAAAATTCTCTCTTAGTAATTTTTGGCAAAATTTGACCTAAGTCCCTGTACTATAACTTTGGCTTGATTTTTAACAACTTTAAAAAATTGTTAAAAATTCAAATTTGATTAGAACCAGCTTAAACTTCAGACGTAGCATATATGTGTGATAAGAATTCAACACTGGAAATAAGGAATATTTTAAGGGTTGATTTCAGTATAAATAATTGTAGTTGTATTTTTGCACCATGCAGTTCTACTGTTATACATGCATGAGACAGAATTAGGATTCATTCAAATTTTCTATAGACTGAATGAGCAGTTGAAACCAGTCTTAGAGATCCTCCGTGAAGTGGATAACATCAGTTTAGCTGAACACATACTTGAGCCCGAACCACAGAGTATCAAGAATTTAATACAAGAGAATAAATATGACAAAAACAAATCTCAACAAGGAAAAGGGAATTGGACTACCAGTAAAGTGTGAGTGATTATAATACATTAGTAACTAGTACCAGTATTGTGTTAAAATGTTTTTCTTTTTAGAAGGAATTTGTGTTTAATTTTTTTTAATTTAAATTCTATGTTGTGTTTAATTTTTTTCTTTTTAGTGATGATATTTATGGAGATCAGACTATTAGCATTAATATTGGGACTGAAGAGGAGCTGAGACAAAAAGTACAAATTATTTTATAGTAATAATAATAATAATAATAATAATAATAATAATAATAATAATAATAATAATAATAATAATAATAATAATGGATTATAGGCTACTCAAAAAGATGCACCACAATGGATGAAGGAGAGCACTGTATTTGAGTCATCAGCCAGTGCCACTGTGACTGAGAAGGAAGATAAAGGAGGAGCAGGAATCACACTAGGACCTAAGACAGTTTTACCTGGTAAACTTATAATCTGTGAATAACTAACTGTTAAAATGACACAGTAAAAATTGTACTTTTTGCATGTTGTATCATGTTCAAAAAAGTTCTGCTTTTTAATAACTTCCTAGTACTTGTGTTGCTGACTTCTTGCTACTGGTATATTTGTAGGAGATGAAATAATGGAATTATTGTCTCAAGAAGAGTCCAGTAATATTACTAAAGAGGCTCCCAGCAGTAGCAGTAGCAGCGATGATGAGTCAACTAGTGATGATAATGAGGACATGCAGCAAAGCAGCAGAGACATGTCACAACTGCAACAATCACAATTTGTAAGTATGGAAGCCAGCATGTACAGTAGAAACTTTAGTGTGTATAGATATTAACCACCTTGAAGGAAATCTGACCCATTGACATTCATTTAATATAGTCTAGAAATGATATAATGAGTGGAATAGTGATATAATGAGTGGAATAGGTGTATGACGCTCCCTTATGTGTAGCCAACAATATTTCATGGTTTGTCTGTTGTACAGGATGAAGTTGATTCTAATATTAGCTCAAATGATGATGAAGATAGTGAAGATGACGAAATGACACTAAAAGTAAATCCCCTATATAATTACACTGATGTCATGCATGGTGAACACTTTTTAAATACTCTATTACTCTTATTGAATATTGATGTAACTTTCATTTGCTGCATAGGTTGGTGATCAAGTATATGAGCTTCACAAAATCACTCCTGATATTGTGAACTCAATGACATCAGAAGAGAAGGAGAGATATACTCAGTTGTGTCAGCAGGCATATAATAATTTGTACTAATTTTTACGTTCTTCATTTTAATAAGGTGCTTCTATTATTCTGTTTCCAGTTCCAATTGTAATTAGATGATCTGATTTCATGACAAATTTTATGTTTATATTGTGTACAAATGTTGAGCTGATCCCAATCCAAATTCCATTTTTAAAGTTGCTAAAAAATCTGGCCAAAAGACCATGTACTATAGCACAGGATATTTCATCAGAAATGGCTAGGAGAAAATTTTTTATTTTATAACTTTTATAATAACGAGTGGAACTAAAATCATGCAATAGCTCTTTTAAATCACTATCCTTCATTCCATATTATAATAATATGAGACTGTCATAAAGTGATGAAACTAAAACAGCTTTTGCGTTTTTGAATTTGGATCTACTGAGCCATGCCCAGAGTCAAAAGCAAATAAATTGAAAGCATAATGAGGCATTGCAACTTTTGGAGGATGAAGAAGCCTGCTATGAAGTCTCCTGTCTTATTGCTCTTCTTTGTAATTTTCTACGTTAAGTCTGATTCTATTCATGTCGTATCTAATAGTCAATTGGAGGAGGTGTTATGCAGTAACAACACTTACAATAACGACACTACCATTCTCTTAACCGCTAGAATGGAATTTTCTATCTTACCAGGTAAGTATTGCACTATTAATGTCAGCCACTCTCTTACTATTGCCAGTGATAATAAAACTGTTAAAGCACAGATTGCTTGTATGCCATCAGATCATCAAAATAATGGGAGGTTAAGGGGTTTCGCCTTTTATGGCACTGGGTCGTTAACAATAAGAATGGTCATTTTTCATAACTGTGGCACTAATTTCACTACCTTGGACAGCAGAATAATCAATTCTACGACTTCCCGTGTTTATTTTACACATGACCATGCTGCTGCTTTAATAATTTCTGGTATTCCTAGGGTTCAGTTACTCAGTGTAGTTATTGTCAACTACACTGGGTTTGCACTTATATTGGTTAACCTTCCAAATGCTACACTGCAACTGGGTTACTTTAGGGAGAAAAATAATGTTAAAGCAATAGGGAGTGGTGTTCTAGTCCTTTTTTATGATCAAGAGACACCTCTTTTAGTCAGCGAGTACAGCCTCACTTTTTCACATTGTAAATTCGAAGGAAATCATGTGCACTATCAAAGCTCCATAGTTGATGACAACCGTCACTGTGTCTCAGAAATTTATAAAAACTCTTATAGTATGCCTGTAGTGAGTGCTGCTGGTCTGACAATATTGTACACTCAGAGTGATGCAAGAGCAACCGTTACACTGTCATATTGTCACATTATTGGCTGCTCTGGTTATTTTGCAGGAGGAATGCTGATAGTTCAATTTAATTCTTCAGTTGATTCAAAAACAATCATCAATAATGAACATTATGATAAGTCGAGATCGTCAAATTTCTCCTCAAATGTAATAATGAAGCATAATTGCCGTGGAGCAGCCATAGCAGCAGTCTTTTACTTTAACAACAATGAGCTCAATACAACTTACAGGCCACTTACTATTACAAATGCATCCTTTTTCAACAACAGCTTTAGTTTACATCAAAATTCTAGGCTATCCGGTGCAATTGATATAGCTGTAATTGATGCTAATAATTTAGAATCCATGCTACACCCAAAAATAGAATTGGTTTTTCATGGGCTTGTTTTCTTTAGTAATTTTGGGAATGGAGCTTGCATGTCTGCTGCTGTACACTCATATTTGAGGACAACCAACTTTGTGCACATCTTGTTGGAGTCAGTTACTGCATTCGGTAATCCAAACATGACTCTACTTCCATTGGCAAAAAAGCATAATCCTATGAGTTTATTTAGCCTGTCAAATGTCAATGTTAATATCAATGGAAGTAGGACTGATCCTGGAAATTTTTCATACAACTATGGCTCGGTTTTTGTCTTAATGAACTCAAATGCTTACTTAGAGGGGTTTCTAATTTTTGATAGTAACATTGGTCATAATGGTGCGGCTCTGTTATTAAAAGGCAACAGCTATCTCTACCTTAAAGAGAGTCTAAATGCTAGTTTTTTAAATAATGCTGTGCAGTCTTTAGGAGGAACAATATGTGCTACTCACTCTTCATCTTTTCGATGTACATTTCAAGTGCTCTCTAACGATATTAATGACATCAGTTTGAAATTCATTAATAACACTGCTGCACTAGCTGGTAATGCCATATACTCTACAAACCTCTATCAATGTTCAATTATAAAGGGTCATATAATGAACAATCTGGCAGACTATTACAATACCATCATCAATAATGCTTCGGTACCCGATATTTCATCGGTTGCCGAAAAGATTTTATTTTGTAATAAAAAAGAAAGATACAAAGTTTATCCAGGAGGCACCATTCGCATCCCAATTGGTGTCTATGACTACAGCAATAGCTCTACATTTGAAATTGTAACAGTGATAATTGTAGAGGAGACTAATGTTCTGAAGAAAGTCAATTGGTGGCTTTCTGATGATCAAAATACATTTGTTATCAAAGGAGAGCTAAACTGTACAGTTGTCAATTTGACAGTGCACACTAGAGATGCATCAATTCTTAATAAGTCGTCACTGTTTCTTTTTTCTTTGGCTGAAGAAAACAAAGTTATTGCAGCTAATGTATTACTCAGAAAGTGTCCACTTGGCTTCCAATTAGATGCAGAAACAGGAACCTGCCAGTGCTCAGATATCTTTAATTTTTACAAAACTTTTGAAAAACAGAAGATATTTTGCAATATCAGTAGCAATACGTTTAGAAAGCCTAATATTTTAAACTTATGGTTAAGCACTGACCAAACAGACAGGAAACTTTTCATTGGTTTTTGCAACCCCAGTTACTGTAACATTGGGTCTCAGTTTGATGTCTTACATTTTAATAGCACAGGATCTTATCTTAGCTCAAGTGAGACATCAAAGACAATACCGCTGTGTTTTGGCTCACGAAAAGGAATACTCTGTGGAGAGTGCATTACTAATTATAGTGTAGTGCTTGGTTCTAATGAGTGCAAAATGTGTTCCAGTAAATGGTGGCCTCTCACTTCAATCATTTATATACTAGAAGGCCCATTGCTAGTTTTTCTATTATTCAATCTCAAACTGACTCTAACTACTGGCACACTAAATGGTATCATATTCTACGTCCAACTTGCTAACCTTGGGCACATAAAATATTTAAATATGCTGTGTAGCGAAGATTGTGCAAATGAATATTTTCTTGTCAAGTTCTCAAATGCAATACTCTCATTGTTAAACTTAAATGTTGCCTTCCCAATTTGCTTATACGATGGTATGACAGAATTATGGAAAGCTGGACTCAATTTATTTCTTCCTGTTTATTTAATCCTCATTATTGGTTTCCTTATTATTTTGAGTCATTTCTCTACTACGGTTTCTAATAAACTCGCACATTCGTCTGTTCAAGTTTTGATCACTGTTGTTCATCTCTCATTTACAAAGCTGCTTCAAGCTTTCATTGAAACATTTGGTGTAAGTTTATATTACGAAGATGGTGTAAAAGAGCCAAAAAGGGTATGGTACAACAGTGGAGCTGTTGAGTATGGCAGTGTAGAGCACAAGTGTCTTATAATTCTTACGTCAAGTGTAGTGGGACTTATCCTTACACCATATTTGGTACTGATAGTTTTTGGAAAGTTTATCATGAAAGTTGATAAGTTTAGGGAATACATTCGTCCACTGTATGAAACGGTTCACGCTCCTTACAAAACAAACAAGTGGTACTGGTTTTCATTTCAACAGTTCATTTTGTTGCTTGCTTATTTTGCTGCTACTTTAGTAAATCATGCTCTTACAGTCCATATTGCTATAATGATTGGGATTGGTTACTTATGTCTCCAATTGTATTCAATGCCATTCAAAAATAAAATCATCAATGTGTTAAATTCCTTTTTTATCTTTAACCTTGTTATTATTGCCATGACTTGTCAATATGTCTATTTGACAGATGGCTCTCCAAAATATATGGTCATATCCTTTGCTCTCTTAAATTACCCTGTTTTTATCATTTTCGGCTTTGTTATCACCTACCACAGATTGCTAGTCACAAATAAGCTCGGGAAAGTTCATAGTCTGTATGAAAAGATAGCGGCTTGCTTCAAACCCACTCGAAAACAACACTACCAAAATAACTGCAATGACTCTGATGACTGTACTGTTCGAGAGCCACTTCTTGAGCGATCATGATAATCTGTTTTCTAACACTTATTATTGTTATTGGACTTTATACCACTCATCAGTAAAAATAACATTCACAATTTACAGTAGCAGTTTGGTCATTTTTAATATTAAAATTTTAGGATACTGTTATATTATCATTATTAGTTATGCATATGCAAATTATCAGCTACTATTATTTGTTATTATTATTATTATTATTATCATCATTACATTAGTTGCAAGTTTATTTATTATTATTATAGCTAGATCTATTATTTTATAATAGAATTGGTTATCTAATTTAGATCAATGAAATAAAATCATAACATAAACAAATGCACTCTTAAAATGAAAATTAAAACCATAAATATATGAGAAACCTAATATATACATTTAAACACTCAAACACACACACACCCACACTATAATGTTAAAGGTCATCACCCTCTAATTCATCATCATTATTTTGCCATGCTTGACTTGTTGTTGATTTACTCCTCTCTTTTTTCACTTGAACATCAACCGGCTTATAAGTATGAGGGCTTTCTAATATACTGTAACCAACTGAGCGACCAACAGGAACGTCATAGCTCTCCGTTGATGAAGGACTACAATAATATTCATCATCGTTATTCTCGCTCTCCAGCAGACCCAGAACAGGATCTCTGTATCCAACACTTACTGATAAATTTCGTCGTCGGCTGGTTGGAGTTGTATTGATCAAAGGTCTTAACATATCTCTCTGCAGTCTCCTCTTCTTCTTTTTTTTCTCATTTACATTGAATCTATGCGTAGCTGTAACAGTTATTATAATTATCAGATAAAAAACTGGAATGAATACCAGCACATATACAATCCCTTGCCTCACTACAGAAGAGCGACCAAAGACCACATCACCAGTCTCACCAAAGAGAAGTGTAAGAAGAGTCAGGTCAGCTAAGAGGAGGGAATCGGCAAAGTTCAACCAACTGCTCTGATAAGGTTGGAGCAACATGTGAATCACTAATATTGTGAATGACAGCATTTGTATGGAGTATTGCAGGCGTACAAAGTCTAGTATAGGAGCAACTAGTACAATATAATAGATAAAGCGACAGAGAAAATAGTAGCCAGCCATCCACCTAAACTTGTCTTTGTAGCAGCCTTGGAATTCATCCAAAAATGGCTTGATCTTATTCATGTTGAAGCATCTAGTAAGCAGTGGAGCTAGCAGTAGGAGAAGAGTAAATGGTATTACCAAAACAACTATGACAGCAAGGCCTATTATGAACCAAGGGATATGCTCATTTGTACTGAAGTACTTAATTTGTGGCTCAATAGTGACATATATTTGGTCAATCCCTGCAAAAATGACGCCGTTCATGAGCCTAAAACTAGTCTCTGTGATTGCTGTGAATGATAGAAGGAGAAGGAGACAGATTGCTTTAATGAGGGTGTTGTCCTTAAAGGTAATGCGCTTTGAACAGCATTTCGACAAACTGATAGTCGCCAGGACAAGAATAGAGATTATGATAGGATTAATGAATAGAAAAGCTTCCTGTGCTAGTGGCTCTAACTTCTGAAAGAAACAGATTGGTAAGTAACCCAAAAACTGTGGATTAAGTTGTGTGACGCTTTCTAATATTGAAACTATAGCTAGCAATGTGTTCCCCACAAGACTAGTGGGCAAGAGATGGCTAACAATGCTAAAGTAGTATACGAAACAAAACATGTAGCCAGAGCTTAGCTTGTAGTCAAATTTCAGGACTAATATGATAAGGAGGAAAGTCATGACTAGAAAGACAATGTTAAGAAAAGGTGTAACTATGCCTTGACCTTTTTTACAAGTGCTGTCTCGGACGCATTTTGTTATACCAAAAGTAAAGCTGTAATCTTGCTTGCAGCTTGCACAGAGTCTCCCAGCTCTATTATTAAGACACTGTCCATCCTCAGTTGCTGGCAACTGACAGTAATCATCATTGTCCATGCTATGCTTACAGCTATCGCAATTATTTGAACTCGAGTTACAGATTCCAGATTCACATAGGCTGGTTGTGTATCTACCATCCACTTCACCCAACCAGTAGCCTTTCCTTATGCAAGCATTCCCTGCATTACAGGACACTATGCCATTGCCTTCAGGTATTTTGACACATTCACAGATCTGGGAGGTTGTATTGTACACATAGCCTAATGGGCACTTTTTCAGAATAACAGTAATCTTTTTCTGAACATGAAGTCCTAAAATTTTTAATTCATACTCCACATTACTTGAATTAATTTCCGGTCCCATTATAAATATGTTGGGATAGTTGACACCATTTGCTATACTGAACTGTCGAAAACCATTAAGCCTGTGATGAAGTGTTTGCTGTAGAGTATCATCGCCACCATCAGTTAGGAAGAGACTCACCTCTGCAGTAGAGGTCTCATTAAAATAGTTTAATATTGTGGCATTAATGACTAGCTTCTGGCCCAATATGAGCTCTAGCAGTGAGTCATTTTTAACAGGATCGTGTAACCGAACTTGAAAAGCACCAGATGAATACTGGTTTGTATCATTGGGGAAGAATGCAATCTGCTTATTTCTAATTTCATCAAGACAGTCACTATTTGGCTCAGTAAAATAAATGGAATTACCATTGGATATTGCATTGTTACTATCAAAAGTGACAGTAGTAACACCTGCAGTGCTGCTGTCTTGCTGGAAGTGAAATATGCAGTGTGAGGCAGGAATTGAATTTTGATAGACAGCTCCTCCAAAAACTGCTCTATTGTGAGCAAATGTGACATTATGCTCATCATGGAAGACAAATGTTGAACGATCGATGTACGCTGCACCTCCATAGAATCCACTGTTTCCTGTAAATGTAACTTCACCTGAGAAATTTGCGTTAGTGGATTGCAAGCAAATCCCTGTTCCTGTATTATTACCAATGAAAACTCCGTTGAGATGTATAGGCATGTTTTCTGAGTGGATAACACAAGAGGCTTGCCCAAAGAAAATAGTCTGAGTTGCTTTATTATTTACAAGCAAACAATTCATGAGGCTAGTTGTCACTGGGCTAACATCAATAGTTGAGAATAAAAGAAGTGCTGCAGAGCCTGCAGCTGTGTTATTCTCCCACATACAATTATTAAAGATGACACCATTATCTGAACAGTCACCAGTAAACTGTGTAGTGATATCAATGTATTGGTATACAGCACCAGCTGTGTACGATGCATTGTTACCAGTAAATTTAACGTCAGTGTATGATGCTTTAAACCCAGAAGCATACACAGCACCACCGTGTGTCGTGACACTGTTGTTCATGAATAGTGACCTTGATATTTCAAACCGACTTACAACTGGACAAAGCTCATTTGTTTCTACATGAATACCTTCTGCATCATAATACAACCCACCACCTATCCCAGCACTGTTAAAGCTAAAAGTACAGTCACTGATTTGCAGACTGGCAAAAGCAGGAGCTTGTATGTTAAAGTTTAGTCCCCCTCCATACTTAGTCACTGCTCCACTAGTTGTTTGGCCATTACCAATAAATGTAGAGTTTCTAATGTCATGTCTTGGCATATAATCATTAATACGATCACAATGACGATAGTAAGTCCACCTCCCATTGTTGATAGTTAGAGCGCTGCCATAGTTCTTAGTGAACTCTGAGTTAGAGATATTAGTGTTAATGTTATTTGTGAGCATAACTCCACGACAGTTGCTGATGTGAACATTATCCATGTACGAGTGACAGGAGCCATTAACTTCAATGCCAACAGAGCTATCTGTGCATTTTATTTCAGCACCTTTTCCAAATCCCTGTATCACAAAGGAGCTGAAGTTACCCAAACTGTGAGTTGAGCTCAGGCTCCATTCCTTATCCCCAAGTGAGATGTAGAGTTGCTGCAATGGTGGGACTTCAAGGTCATCACCATTGACTATCTGAAGTGCTTGATCCAATGAAGAACAAATATAGTAGGACTCATCTTCGCAAGAACAGCATAGAGTGCCTGGAACTAAACTGCACTGCTTGATATCAAACTGGGGCTCGTCTTCCAGTGGAACTTTGGCGACTTCATCATAGGTGTCGTTTTCTGGTCGAGCGTTGTATTCTATGTATACGTATGGAGATGACACAGGGCATTCTTCCTCTTGGAGTCCATTGACTGGACAAGAGAGGAAATACACGAAAGAGAGAAAGAAAAGAAGTGCTTTCATCTTTTTGTGATAGCAGAAATTTGTAGAGGTGTGGCTCGTAATAGCTTAGCTATGACTACTATGACTTGATGCTATAATCTAATTATAGCAATTACTCTACCATGACCATAAAATTACTCTAGTATTTATAGCAATAACTTTTATTTTAATGTATAAAGGGAATGACAATAACTAACTATACAGTAACAGCTAAAGCCATAAGACATTAAATAATAACTAGTCACAGCAAATTTAGGAGGAGATGTCCCAGGAGAAGCAGTTTACTTGTACTTCTTTGGAGTACCAGCAACAATGTTGCTCTCAATCCCGCAATCATCCTTTCCGCGTATCATCTTAAAGTATCCTAACAACAAAAGTTAAAAAAATATAAGCAATACAGAGGAAGATGTACTCACCCTTGTCTCCCCAGCTAGGATTCCAAGAGTTGGCAATAAGCCTGGAAAAGAAGTGAGAGAGAGAGAGAGAGTGAGTGAGTTAAGGAAAAAGTAAATGAGTTAGGTGTCCCAGTAGATATTAATACACTTACCAATAAGGTACACCATTCTCAGTTCCCCAGCCCAAGATCCTGATAGCATGGCCACCCAATGCATGTCCAACAACATGTTGATAAACACCTAAAAAGTAGAATATGTATATTAGAAATAACAGTTCATTAGCCTAAAAGAATAAACACACAAAATACACTACATGCTATTCTATAAAACATAATAATAACACATTATGCATAATAGCAAGAGTGGATAATAATACCTGATTTATAAGTGGGGAAGTCAGAGTAGACAGTGAAGGCACCCTCGACAGGTCCATTGGTCATTATCTCAGTCTGTATGGCCTCTACCTCTCTGTGTACAGCATATGCCTTCTCTCCGTAATGGAGATCAGCCTCGTAGGAGGTTGTGTAGCCAGAGCGACAGGTTCGTTCGCATTGTGGGGTCTTGCCCTCGCCAGTGCAGTTCTCGTAAGGCCCGGGCTCGTGGTGGTTACATTTAGGTATCAGGTAAGGCTGGCATCCTTCATCAGAGCCGTACTGACCTCCAGTAACAAGACCATCCTTCACCCAATACTCCCTAGTATCAAATAAAGACTGATCTTTAAAAGGGATGGTAATTACATAATTAGATATTAAAATCAATGCTATTAAAAAAGAAAAAGCCACTAAAAAATTTTAGTGGCTGTGTCTTATGGTATAATTAAGTTGTAGGACTACATGTGCTTATAAATGCAAGCAGCTAACACAATAATCAACATGAAAACAGGCATTAGCTTAATTGCATTCATGTCACAATAGCTGACCAATATCAATGAATCCAATATAATAACAATAATAATTAAATCACATGATGGATGGTGCCAGCTACACACACACACACACACACACACACACACGTAGCAGCTGCATCCACAAAAGGTCACTTACCAGGCTTGTTGGAGGAAGCCACCAGCACATCTAAATGATAGTAAAAATACAAGTGAATCATGGAGAGTGGGCTGAAGTTGTAAATAAATTAATGTGTGTTAGTCTACGTACCCGTTACCACAAAATTTACAACAAGTCATGAGGTTTTCAGCCGATATGTGGACATTCTCTTGGAAGCTAACGCAATAGCGATCACTCATTGCTTCAACTGCACCCAAAGCCTGTAAAATGACGGCATTATATTTTTTTCATAACACTTTCTGATTTGTGTAAACAATTATTATAAAAAAATCTTGCATTATTTTCTCACCCAGCATGATCCACATGAGCCTTGATCGCGAATGTCAGAGATTGAGGGACAATCTGACCATTTCTGCCTAGCGTCAAATGTATCAGGGATGGCTCCGACCGAGACTTTCTCCTTGTACGGGAGAGTGTGCTTCACATCAAGTACCCCGCAGAGGTCTTTGACGTCAACTTCATTGCCGGAGGGGAAGCGAGGGCTACGGGCAGCAGTCCAGGTCGTATTCAGAGAATTCACATAATCAATGACATCGTCAGAGAGTGCCTGGAAGTCTAGAGGTTTGGCAGAAGCAATGGAAGCGACAGCAAAGAGAACGAGGAGACACTTGTAAAAGGACATGGTGGCCACAAGAAATTTGTAGTTATTTTAACCACGCCTAACTTCTTATTAATTAAAATTATTAACTATTAATAATGACAAAAAATCAAAAATTATAATAACAGCAAGGTGCTTTGCAGTCAGCTAATTCATTTGTATTGCTCAGGCATTCCAGCAATAATGCCTGACTCTATGCCGCATTCATTTTTACCACGAAGGATCTTGAAGAAACCTGTAAAGGAATGAAAAAAGATGCACAGTAGATCTATAGGGCAAAAATGGTTAAAAGTTAAGTTGCTCCAAAATCTAGGCCAAAACCCTGTACAAGAAATTTTATTAATAATTACTAGTAGAAATTATTGATTTTATTACACTTTCTGATACACATACATGTACTCATGTCATGCTAAAGTAAAAAGTATGGGATAATTCTGAGTAAAATTGAATTTAAAAAAAATTTTAAATTAATAATAACGTACCATTGTCCCCCTAGCTTGGGTTCCAAGAGTTAGCCACAAGCCTACAATTAAACGATAATGATATAAACACACAATAAGGTGCATTCACATACCAATAAGGAACACCATTCTCAGTCCCCCAACCTAATATCTTAATGGCATGGCTACTAACATGGTGATCAGTGGTATGCTGATAGACACCTATACATTATATTAACAAGGAACACATTATTACATTAAACTCTCAATACGTTTACCTGAAGTGTAAGTGGGGAAATCAGCATAGACATCAAAAGAGGCCTCAACTGGCCCATTGGTCATTATCTCAGTTTGAATGCCTGAGACATTGCTGCTGATGCTGTAAGAACTCTTACCATAATGTTTATCAGAGTGATAGCTCTTATCATAACCAGAAATACAGGACCTTTTGCAGGATGGGGTATGGCTAGTCAGGGATTTTTTAGAGCAGTTCTTGTATGGGCCAGGCTCGTGATGGTTACATTTAGGTATAGTGTATGGCTGACAACCTTCATTACTATCATACTGGCCACCTGTAACAATCCCTCCAAACAACTTATCAGCCCAATATTTCCTTTGGAAGAAGAGAGAGAGAAGAGAAGAAAAGGAAAAGGAGGAAAAGAGTGATGCCACCAAGTAAAAAGTCTTAACTATAACATATTAAGTAAAAGGTCTTAATTGAGTACAATGTATTTGATTTATATGCAAGATTGCTCGGGCTTTATATTCAGCTTACATAGAAAGTACATTGGATTTAACACGACAAATAGGTAACCACCTTGTTTTTAAAACATTGCATATTTTAATTTGTGCAAACCTTACAAATTTACAAATTGTAAATACTAATTGGATCAGGCTATGTAAACAAAGCTGAAACAAAAGCAATAGTGTATATTTATATAAAGTACACATAAATAGCTTGGCTTTAACACAACAAATAGGTAAACATCTTGTTTTTAAAACAATAAATATTTTAGTTAGTGCAAACATTATAAAATTACAAATTGCCAATACTGATTGGATTAACAAAGCTGAAACAAAAGCATTGATGGTGTATACTTACCAAGCAGCAGTTGGGTAGCCCCCACCACACCTAAAGGTAAGGGAAAATATCATAAGGTTATGTGATGGTGAATTAGTTTAGCTGATGAAACTATGCCTTAATCCACTAGGCAACTTTGTTGAAATCAACAGCAATTTTTGTTTCCTGAAATAGAACACTGTTCTATTTCAGGCAACAAAGTTGACAGACATCAAAGTAACTACAAAGTTGCTTTCCATAGTGGATGTTGGGCTTAAGAAAGCATTTAATAATGATGCATATCCAGTCAATGCAAGGTCATCATTATGATAGCTATTATTTTGAAAAATACTATCACTAACAATAAAAGTATTTTTAATTACCTAGTAAACATGGCTTTACTTATCCATTTCCACATGTTTTACAACAAGAAAGAAGATCTTCAGCAGAAATGTTGACCTGCTCTTGAAAGCTTATGCAATATCTATCACTCATAGCTTCTACTGCACCAAAAGCCTGCAAAAATGAAACATTTTGTAATACTGACAGCTTATTGTACACTATCTAGCTGTCAATTTATGTATGGCTGGTAACTTTTGGCATCTTAAACCATACACTATGCAACATTTGTTGCAAACAACTTGTTGCATGCAATAATGGAGTCAATGGAGCTTGCGAACATTTTGTATGAAATAGGAAACAGTTCTATTTCATGCAACATGTTGCAAGCTCCATTATAAACTGTGTTGCATGCAACAAGTTGTTTGCAACAAGTTGTTTGCAACAAAATGTTGCATAGCATATATGCTGGGCTTTAGAATTCCCCAAATAAAAACATCAAATCACTAGTTCCTCCAAAATTATATAAAATAAAAATTGCTTAGTATTGGCAACTATAGCAAATTCAACTACCACTCAAATAGTTAATGCCTTTCTGAACTAAAAACTGCTTACCCAACAAGATCCACAAGCTCCTTGATCTCTAATAGTACCAATGGAAGGACAGTCGGGCCACTTCTGACGCGCATCAAAAGTATCTGGAATTACAACAGGTACCTCAATCTCTTTCACTGGCAGTGTAGGGCCACCACGGAGCAGTGCCCCACACAGAGAGTGGACATAGTTCTCAGTCACTCCTTCAAAACGCTTGCTGCTTGGAGTTGCCCTCCATGTTGTCTGTAGTGAGTTGACACGTTCAGCAATGCTCCTCATGCTCTCGGCGTAAGAGAGGACAGGATCATAAGGAACTGAGAGTACAGCAGGAAGGATGAACAAAACGACAGCTAGAAAGACCTTCATCTTGTGGAGAAGAACTGAAGAAGCTTAAGGAATTTGAAATTATATACTAAGTTGCTAACCAGCCCCACCCATGCGAGGAGGAATGGTTGAAATTAAACCCTATCAAGCCTACCATAGCATCAGCTACATGAGTACATATACATTTCAACTATTGACTAAGATGCTGCACATACAGCTTAATAATTATACACAATAATATTATTGCTTTCAGAAACACTTACATGTTGAGCATTCCCTCAGTTATGAGCATTGAAGTCTGTCTGTGAGTCAATGAAATCTTCAAGTAGTTCTAGTCTCATGTCTGGGTTATCCTTGACTCCAGAGAAATCTTCAAGCCACAAGCAAGTACAAAAATTGAATCATAATTATTTTCAATTTTTCATGAAATTTGTAGTTTATTTTAACCACGCCCAACCAAATCATTAGTTAACTATTATTAAGAATGGCAAAATAATAATAATAATAACAGCAAGGTGTTTTGCAGTCAGCTAATTCATTTGTATTGCTCGGGCATTCCAGCAACAATGCTTGACTCTATGCCGCACTCATCTTTACCACGAATGATCTTGAAGAAACCTGTAAAGGAATGAAAAATGATACACAGTATAGGGTAAAAATGGTTAAAAGAAAATTCTTTATACTTATTATACATGTTTTTACAGTATGTAAGCATATGTGAACTAATTCCAAAAATTTCAATTTTTTACATTTTCTGATGAACATACACATTATGCTATATAAAAAGCACGGGCTAATTTGGATCCAAATTGGATTTTTTAGAAATATTTAAAATCAATAGTAACGTACCGCTGTCGCCCCAGCTAGGGTTCCAAGAGTTGGCCACAAGCCTACAATTAAACGATAATGACAAACACACAATAAGGTGCATTCATATACCAATAAGGAACACCATTCTCAGTCCCCCAACCTAATATCTTAATGGCATGACCACCAAGGAAGCTACCAGTAGTATGCTGATAGACACCTATACATTAACAACAAAGAACACATTATTACATTAAACTCTCAATACGTTTACCTGAAGTATAAGTGGGGAAATCGGCATAGACGCTAAAAGCGCCCTCAACTGGCCCATTGGTCATTATCTCAGTTTGAATGCTTGATACATCACTGCTGATGCTGTAAGAATTTTTACCATAATGCTTATCAGAACGATAGCTCTTGTCGTAACTAGAAATACAGGACCTTTTGCAGGATGGGGTACTCTGAGAGCCGGAGCAGTTCTCGTATGGGCCAGGCTCGTGATGGTCGCATTTAGGTATAGTGTATGGCTGACAACCTGCATTACTGTCATACTGGCCACCTGTAACAATCCCTTCATACAACAACTTATCAGCCCAATGTCTCCTTTAGAGAGGAAGGAAAAGGAGAGAAAAGAGTGATGCCACTAAGTAAAAGGTCTTAACTATAACATATTGAGTAAAAGGTCTTAATTGTGTACAAAATGTTAAATTCATAGGTAAGATTGCTCTGGCTTTATATTCTTTCAGCAGCTTACATAGAAAGTACACACAAATAGTTTTGCTTTCACATGACAAATAGGTAGACACCTTGTTTACACAGTGCATATTCTAGTTTATGCTAACATTATAAAAATACAATACTAATTGGATCAGGCAATATACACAAAGCCAAAACAAAAGCATTGACATTGTATGTATAATACTTACCAAGCAGCAGCAGGGTAGCCCCCATCACACCTAAAGGTAAGGGAGAATTATCATAAGATCATGTGATGATGAATAAGTTTAGCTGATGAAACTATGCCTAAGCAAGCATTTAATAATAATGCACATCCAATCAATGCATGGTTATCATTATGATAGCTATTATTTTGAAAGATACTATCACTAACAATGAAAAGGAATTTGACTGACCCACTTCCACATGTTTCACAACAAGAAAGAAGATTTTCAGCAGAAATGTTGACCTGCTCTTTAAAGCTTATACAATATCTATCACTCATAGCTTCTACTGCACCAAAAGCCTGCAAAAATGAAACATTTCGTAATACCGACTGCTTATTGTACACTGTCTAGCTGTCAATTTATAATGTATAGCTGGTAAATTTTGGTGTCTTAGAATTTACAATTCCCCAAATAAAAACACCAAATCACTAGTTAAATA